CCAAATTTTGAATTTTGAGACGAAATTTGAATTTTTTATGGAATTTTAGCATAGATTGATTATTCCCCCCCTCTGGAACCTTGAAAAATGGCCAGAAACGGGCCGATTCCGGCTTGTCGGCCCTGATGCTGCCCCGTGGCCTACAAACCCAAATTTTCAAATTATAAGCAGAAATTTGGAATTGGCACTAAAAATTTACCAAGAATAATTTTTGAAATTTAGAGAAATGCTGAAAACTGGCCTAGAATTACGTAATTTGGGTTTCTAGGCCACGATCCTGTCCGGCGGCCTAGAAACCCAAAAATTGTTTAAAACTTGCTTTTAGGGGTGGAAAATAGGGTAAATTTTAAATTTTAGGTGAAAAAACACCAAAAATAAAAGCGGGGACTTGTTTTTCAAGAAATTTGGGTTTCTAGGCAACCGGTCCAGTTTGGTGACCTAGAATCCGAAGATTTGTTGAAAACTTGCGTTTAGGGGTGAAAAATAGCGTTAAATACAAAAATTCAATTTAAAAACCTCGAAAATAAGTGCGGGGACTAGTTTCTGGACAAATTTGGGTTTCTAGGCCACCAGTCCGGTTTGGTGGCCTAGAAATTCAAAAACTGATGAAAACTAGGTTCTAGGGGTAAAAAATAGCGTAAAAATTAGAAATGTGGCCTAAAAACCTTGAAAACGTCAAAAACTAGCCGAAAATGGCCTAATTTGGGTTTCTAGGCCATAAAACTGTTTTTCGCCGTTTTTAGGCTTATTTTTGACATTTTTTCCCCTTTTTTTAACTTCTCTAGGTCAGAATTTTACGAGAAATTCGAATTTTTAATCTCACCTTCTCATACTGAACCGTTGAGTAGATCGGAAGCAAATCGTACTCGCAACACATCAATTTCAGACTCCCGTCGACGTGTTGAGTGACTCCGCCCACCCACGACGAGTTGGTGGTGCATGCAGATGACATGGCACGTTCTGGACATTCCTGAAAATTGGGAAAATTCTAGAAATCCCAGAAAAATCATGAAAATCGGCTGAAAATTGGCTGAAAATGAGCCAAAAAATCATTTTGCCGGGGTTTTTCGGCCGCGTGGCCTAGAAAACTCCAGGTGGCCTAACTTTCCCAATGGTGGCCTAGAAAACTCACCGCATACTTCTTCTCGTGACAATTCGGCCGCGAACACAAAATGTTGACATTTCCATTTTTGTGGACTTCCATTCCGAATGGGACCTTGTGCTCGCCACAGTAATCCCCCAGGATTACTGTAGGTAGGAGCAGGTACAGTAGTTTGTGTAAATTGCTCATATTACCTGAAAAAAGGGTTTTTGAATTTTGAAAGTTGGAGAAAAATTGACTGAAAACGAGAGAATTTGAAATTTTCAAGACAAACAGACACACAGACAAACAAAGCAAAATATCTCGAGGGATACTGTAGCTAGCAAAAAATGGCCAACTACGAAATTGCCTAACATTAAATTTTACACATTTTAAATGTTTTAAATTTTGACTTAGCTCAATTTTGAACCATGTCGTGCGCCTTTAAAGTTTGCTAGAATTTGTTGGGCGTCTAAAAGAGCGCAGAGGTGTTTAAAGGGGCAAAAAATTCGGGGGTACAAGGGGGTACAACTGATTTAGGGGTACAAAATTGATGATTCGGGGGTACAAAATTCGTGGGTACAAAAATTCGGGGGTACAACGATTCGAGGGTACAAACTACCAATGATTCTGGGGTACAACTCATTTCATTTAGGGGTACAACGCTTGTGATTCGGGGGTACAATTTTTTTTAAGGGAGTTTCTGAATTCCTGAATTTCACAATTTTGGAATTTCAGTATTTCGGAATCTGAGAATTTCGGAACTTCACAGGTACATCGAAATAGGGTACATCATGCTCAAGGGGTACATTGACTGAGTGGGTACGCAGTCTGAAGGGGTTCATCTAGGTAGTTGCACAAAAACAAAAAGTTCGGCCTTTTCATTGGTTTTTCCTTCATCTCTACAAAGTTTTGTAAACTACAGAAGTGAAAAAAAAACTACATGAAATCTAACAGAAAAATTTCAGTGCCGAATTTCAGAATTTTAAATTACGTTGTGTCCATTTTCAGATATAGTCGTGGGAAATCTTCCGGAAGTTGTTTTTTCTCAACCTCTTTCACTTTCTTCCTGCTTTAGAAACCACCGAATATGTACGGGTTACGGTAGGAGAAACTGGGTGAATTGGTGTAGTGGTGCGCGTGGGTGCACGAAAAACTGAAGTCGCGAGTTCAATCCCGACCAGATCCGAACTTTTTGTTTTTGTGCAACTACCTAGATGTACCCCTTCAGACTGCGTACCCACTCAGTCAATGTACCCCTTGAGCATGATGTACCCTATTTCGATGTACCCCTGGAGAATGGACCGAAATTCTGTCCGAATTTCTGAGATTTTGAAGTGCTGAAAATCTGAGATTCTCAGACTGTGAAGTTCCGAAATTCTCAGATTCCGAAATACTGAAATTCCAAAATTCTGAAATTCAGGAATTCAGAAACTCCCTTAAAAAAAAATTGTACCCCCGAATCACAAGCGTCGTACCCCTAAATGAAATGAGTTGTACTCCAGAATTATTGGTAGTTTGTACCCCTAAATCAGTTTTACCCCCTTGTACCCCCGAATCATTGTACCCCCCGAATTTTTTGCCGTTTAAAGACGCATATCTCAAAAACTACAGTACCTATCAAAAAGTTGTAAATTACAAAAATGTGTAAAATTTTATGCTGAGCAATTTGATAGTTGACAACTTTTTGATAGCTGTCATAGTTTTTGAGATACCCATTTTCAAAAAAAAAATTCTGGAAATATTTAAAATTTTTTGACAAAAACTTTATTTTCAAATTTTTCTGCCTCTCTCGCTTCTTATTGTATATTTTTAGAAAGCCCATAAAATTTCCATTAAAACTAAATATTTTTCATTTTTCTAGGTTACGGTAGAAGCAAGTTATGCGCCTTTAAAGTTTGGGTGGTGAACGCCTGCACCAAGCGCAGCCATAGTTACTCTGCGTCTTTTTAAAGGCGCATATCTCAAAAACTACAGTACCTATCAAGAAGTTGTAAATTACAAAAATGTGTAAAATTTTATGTTGAGCAATTTTATAATTGACAATTTTTTGATAGGTACAGTAGTTTTTGAGATATAGGTTATACAAAAAGGATGACAAAAACTACAAAAAAAATGTTTATAGACCTCAAAAAGATACGTTTTTTCGAAATTTCCAAAAAGTTCTAAAACCTATAAAATGTCAAATTTCAAACTGCAAACTTAAAAAGCACCGTTAGTTCTCATGTTACCCCACCTCACCATCAACATTTAAGTCAAAGTACAAATATTTGAAGACAAGAGCAAAAATTTTTTTTCAAAAAATTTTTTTTAATTTCACTGTTTAGAATTGTGTCCAAAAATGTGTAAAGTGTGGAAAATATAGCGAATGGGTTGGTTGTTGTTGAAGTAGATGCAGATTAACCGATAATTCTATGCTAAATACTCATTTGGTGTGAGAACGAAACGAGAGAGTATGGGGACTTGGAGAGACGCAGAGAAGCGAGAGAGGCAGAAAATTCTGTTTTGGGTTATATTGGAAAAACGAGGAAGAAGTAAAAGGAAGTGTCAAAACATTAGGAATACGAAAAACACGCCAGAAGAGACGCAGAGAAGCTAGACACTCTAGCTTCTCTGCCCTCTAAGAAGGCGCGCTAACTTTAAAGGCGCGTACCTTAAAAGCTACAGTAGGTATTAAAAATTATCAACTGGTAAATTGCTCAGCATAAAATGTTACACATTTTTTTAGTTGACAAAGTTTTGCTAGCTACTGTAGTTCTCGAGATATGCGCCTTTTAACTTGACGCAGAGAAATCCTCGTCACCGCTTTAAAGGCACACTTTAAAGGCGCATAACTTGGCTTAAAATTGAGCTAAATAAAATTTGAAAAACAAGAAATGTGTGAAATGTTATGCTGAAAAATTTTGTAGTTGACAATTTTTAAAAAGGTACGGTAGTTTTTGAGATAAGCGCTTTTGAAGAGACGCAGAGAAGCGAGAGGGCGCCAGGAGTCAGTTATTCAACCTAAACTTTAAAGGCGCATAACTTGCTTCTACCGTAACCTAGAGAAATGAAAATTTTCAGTTTTGATGATAATTTTATGAGCTTTCTGGTGATATACAATACTTTCTAATTTTGAAAAAAAAACATTTTGAAAAATAAATGAATTCCAAAAAAATTCCCAAAAAAATCCAGAACATTTTTTGAAAGCGCATATCTCGAAAATTACTATAGCTATCAAAAAGTGGTCAACTTTATAATTGCTCAGTATAAAATTTTACACATTTTTGTATTTTACAGTTTTTGAATAGGTATTGTGGTTTTGGAGTTATGCGCCTTTAAACTAGACTCAAAGAAACAAGAGCATCTCGGCGCTCAAAAACTAGAGTAGCTAGAAAAAAGTTGTCAACTGCAAAATAGCTCAGAATAACATTTTACACATTTTTTTAGTTTACACATTTTTGCTAGGTACTGTAGTTTTCGAGATATGCGCCTTTAAAGAGACGCATAGAAAAGTTTGGAGTCTTTTTTAGTTTTCTATTCAAAAACGTTCGCAAAAAAGTCTAGTCAGTAAAAATGGGATCTCAAAAAAAGTAGGTTTGTGCTGTTTTTGTCTGGCGTCATTGATCATCTGGTGCAGGCAAAAAGTAATCATAGGAGAGTGAGCCCATTGAGATGGAAATAATAGGGTAGTCAGGAGCCAGATGTTTTTGAGCTTTTTTCTCTGCGTCTCTTTAAAGGCGCATATCTCAAAAACCAAAAATGCTAGGCAAAAGTTGTAACTATTAAATTGCTCAGCATAAAATTTTACACATTTTCAATATTTTAAATTTTTGAACCAGCTCAATTTTAGGTCGAGTTATGCGCCTTCAAAGTTCCCTTCGATTTTTCTGCATGGATAGGCGTCTCGAGGAGTTTAAAGGCGCATATCTCAAAAACTACAGTATCTATCAAAAAGTTGTCAACTAAAAATATGTGCGAAATTTCATGCTGAGCAATTTCGTAAAGGACAACTTTGCCTAGCTGCCGTAGTTTTAGAGATAAGCGTCTTCAAAGTTGGAAGTTTGACTGAAGGCTTCCCTTGCTCGGGGAGAATGCCTGTGTCTCTTTAAAGGCGCATATCTCAAAAACTACAGTACCTAGCAAAAATATGTAAACTAAAAAAATGTGTAAAAATTTATGCTGAGCAATTTTGTAGTTGACAACGTTTGCCTAGTTATTGTAGTTTTAGAGATATGCGCCTTTAAAAAAGTTGACCTTTTGAAAAATTCAAAAAAGTTCAAAAAATGAAAAACTTCAGAAAAAAGTGATGTGTGAAAAAAGAGCAGAAGAGCTTGTTTTTCATATTTTTCGGTTCATTTTTCTGTCTAAAGAGCACATGAGCACATTTTTCAAGTGGCTCTTTTTTGGCTTTTTTAGAGGATCTCAAAAGTTTGAAAAATCGAAAAAACTCAAATTTTCCTAAAAATTCCAAAAATGACTATAAAAATTCAAAATTGGCGCTAAAAATTTCAAATTTAGCGCCAAAAAATTGCCTTTTTCAAGACCAAAAACTATCTGAAGTATTTTTCAGAGGACCAGAACGAAAATGGGGGTGGGGAATAGAAAAAATAAAATTCTCATGAATAAAAAAATGGGGGACCGGCTGCTGGCTGGACAGAATGATAAACAAACAAAATTGACACAACGTGTGGAACACATTTTAAGAGGAAAAATAGACAATAGTTTGATGTGTAGGTTTTTTGAAAAAAAAAATTTTTTTCTTGGTTTCTTGCAATTTTAGACCTTAAAAATCCAGCATGTTTGATTAAAATTAT